TTGTTCAAGCTGCCATTCTTGTGGTCCAATTTGGTTATCGAGTGCGATATAACGTGATTACCGGCAATAATTCGTAACTGCGCGCTTGTTAATTACTTCTTAATAAGAACGAAGGATAGGCAGAAGGGGAAATTGCTGGAAATGATGATTCGCGGTATGAGTTATTGGTTATCGAGGAGGTGCCCGTGTTCGATATCGATAATCATATCATTTCTCATTTGATACGTGAATGCCATGAAATGGCTTCACTCTTCAATGAGAAAGACATGATACATTCATCCTCTTATCTGTGAATACAGCTTGATTGTTAATACATGGACATAACTGGAAAAATATTAGATTGTCACTATCTATTACGAAATTAATTTAGCGCAAAATATTTATAATATTTTTCTAGATCAGGTTAAAGAGTTTCTTTCTATGTCTAACAAGATTAATTACTTGCTGTAAAATTTCTAGCATTCACGCAATTTTCATACTTATTCGTAATTGTCAATTGAAAAGTCACCTTTAATTTATTATTTTATAAATAAATTTATTATTTTATAAATAATATTATATAATATTGTAAATAAGTAATGTTAGTTTTTATATATAAATTTGTTGATTACTCCAAAATTGATTCTTTCCGAATGAAATATGATTATTAATGATTTTTGTTTAAATGACTGTGAATATATTATACGTATAAACTAGCAATTTTTTAGAAACATATAAATAAAAGGAATGATTTTTTTCTTGATTTTAAATAAAGAGATTTAAGTAAATGGGATTTTAATCTTACCTTTCCGATCTCATTCAAGACTTTGTATTGATTCAATTGTTGTTGACTATCATGGCTATCAACGGAACACTCCCTATTGAGCGCTCTGATGCACTTCCTCGGCGATTTATGAGGACTGATGTGAGAATGGCGGGAATGAACAGATTTGTAGATGACATTGGCTTTTTCAAGTTGACTCGATCCCGCTTCACCAGGTAAAGATAATTTTCTCAAATCTGTTGTCCGGTTATCTGTGGCAATAATAGTTTCCACATTTGCTTCATGTGCGCTCTTAAAATTTGTATCACTGCTCTTGGAATGATCGATGACTGTATCAACCGTTTGTTGAATCTTAGTTACCTCGTCTGTTGAAACATCTTTGCCGCTGTTAAGCGGAATATAAATCTTGGGGTTCTTGAAAATAGACGTCACTTGCAGATCGCCTAATAAAATATTAATAATCAAATTTTGGCAAATTAATTTCAAAAATATATTTGGTGTCATTTTTCATTTAATATTATGTAACGGAATTGAGGGAAAAGAAAATATATTGAATTATGTTACATAGCAAGTAAATTATGTAAGATATAAATAAGTAGCAAAAATTTCGCGACTCGAGAGAAAAAGAAAAAGAATTAGAATAAAGACAGACGGGATAGCGGGAGACAGACGAAAAAAAGGAGAGAAGAGAAAAAGGAAAGAAGCAATCAAAATTTGAGTCGTATTTTAGAAAAAAAAAAAACAGCTAAAATTAGGATAAAGAAGTGAAAGATTTTTAGAATTAATGGGTGATATTTATATGGTAAATTGAGTTGTGATTATTTACAATCCTAAATCTGAACAAAATCAGAGTAGTAGAGATACTTTTAACAATTCATACCTAAAGGCCGGTATTCATCCGTTCTTCAAGATTATCTTAAGATACTTATTACGATTCTGTGATTAATTTATGACATTTTAACTCAAGGCTTCTCACTGTAACCATCTTGAATTATGATGTCAGAAGCCGGAAAACATGTGATGAAAATGCTTGCAAAATACATTAAAATAGAAACATTTTTCGATAAAATGTTTGCGCTCGATAGAATAGATTTATAAAACATACTGAAAATTCTTTTTTTGCTGTGTAATTAATAAATAACTCTAAGAATATATTTAGGAATGAATGGTGTATCAGAAATAGAGATTCAATTCAATTCTAGATATATGATTATTTATTAATTAACAGAGCGAAAGAAGAGTTTCCGATATATCTTACAATGTAAAATTCTGTTTCATGGAGTGCAAAAATTATTTTATAAAAAAATGTTTCTATTTTAGTGTATTTTGCAAAAATTTTTATCATGAATTTTAACGTTATAATCATCGCTTTTAACATTATAATTTAAGATGGCTGTAATAAAATTATAATTCTCTTTTGAATAAAAAATAATATTTAGATATGAGAGCCGGTTTTATGAGGAAATTTTCCAGTTCGGAGATCGGCGATTTTTATTAAAATATCACTTGAACTTTTGCTCACAATATTTCTCTTTCATTACTACGTGAATTCTTTATGTGAATTCTCTATGTGAATTTACTATGTGAACTCTTGCCATGAATTTCAAGACTCGCTTTATCTAACTTGAAAATCTATTCCATTGTCCATTGTAGCAATATCGTTCTAGATAACAGATCGTACTGCTTGCAGTAACAATGCAGTTTACTTACTGAGACGAGTTGTTAGTCCATCATTGATCTCCTGAGTTTCGAAACTCTTCTGTCGTGGCAGGGTTTTTTCTTTGACCGCATCTTTTGTCTCTTCTACGTTGGGCATGTCGAGGCCGGAGGTCACGTTTCTGTGTACTTCTGTCGTCGGCATTCTCTCCTTCGCTGTATCTGCAAATGGCTCAACGTTCTCAATGTTCTCTTCAATATTCTCCTCTTTCACTCTACCAGCAAGATCCTTAATTAAGACTCCAAGACTTATAGGTTTCGATTTGTGTCTGTCCTTCGAAAGAGACTCTTGTTGTTGTGTATCACCGCTCGTCGTCGAGTTTCTTCTGTTATCCTCGAAGCTGTCTCGATGACTCACATAACCACTGCTCTGTCTTCGGAGAACTTCTGTAGTACTTTGTGTTAGAGTCTTTAACGCACCTTCTCCCTCTTCGAGATACAATGCGCTGTCTTTGCGTACTTCTTGAATGTATTCTGGACTCGATAATATTTTTGATGGACCTGGCGCATTCGTGGATACTTGTTCAGTATCAGAAATATCTTTTGTATTAGTAGGAGGGGGTGAATTTATAGGAGAAGTATCAACCGCAGAACGTCTGAAAAAGAGACAGAAGCGAATATTTATCATATGTTTAATCAAAAAAAATTTCTTGTTAAATAATCATAAATCTTAGTATTTAAAAATAACGTTTACGTCTTGCAATATTCTCTTTCTGCATTACCATTACTATTTTTTGTGAAAATAATATATTCATATAGTACAAACTGATCATGACATAATTTTTTTCTTAGTAGGAAACTATTATTTAATTAATAAAATTGTCATTAAGATATTATTAATAATGATTTTATTACGACAATAAATAAAATTATTTTAAACTTCCGATTACGCCATATGTTATATATAATTTATAAAACGTAAGATTTTTTATCAAAGTATTATCGTCTTATTTCTGCACTAACGTTTAAAAGTGCAAAGCTGCAACTCAATAACGAAATGTCAAACAGCCAACACGTGGTAGTATTATCGTTTATCGAGATAATAATATTTGACACCATAAAATAATCACAGAATAGACGAAAAAACGTCATCATTACGTAAAACTCCTTCAAATTCATAAGAGACATGTAAGTAGAGCTTTAACATTTGATATAAACAGATCTCGTTTATTGGCTTGTGTGGATAATGAGATACATTAAAATATCGATAAGTCAAATTGCAGAAGGAAACAGAAAACAATATTATAGTCCTGTAATTTCCTTGAGATATTGTAATTTTAATTTAAAATATTTTTTTCAAAAATATATACTTTTTAAAATATCTAAATACGTCGGATTATGAAAACTTTGTATGATAGAAATAAAACAATGGGATAATAGAACAATGGGATAATAATGATTATCGCTCGACAGGCAAAATCTTAGGTGTTTTATAATTTTTAAAAATAAAACATTCAATTCTGTTCAATGAAGTAAAATTAATAAAACTTTTAGATCAAGTTAATAGTTGCGCAAATAATTAATAATAATTTAACATCAAGTTGATTCTGAGAAATATAAAAAAGATATTTCATTAAATTCCGAGTTATATGGAATCACATAATAAATACGTGTTTTTTATTCATGGCAAAGTAATCTACAATTGAGATTTATTGGCGACGTGATCATACGTTGAAACATGAAAATATAAAATTTAAATAACAAATCGGTTTCATGCCTTACGGCTTGCCCCGAGATAAAACGAAGAAGAGAATAATAAAATTGTTGTTGTAAGATGAGTTTGCGTTTTTTTTTTGGTACAATAGTAACCAAGTTTCTCCTCATTTTCGCATCGTATGTGACAAGATCGAAAATATTTTTATATTATAAGCTAACTAACTAGAAAAGTACTTAGAGTGATATTTTTAAAAGTTTTTAAAAAAATATAGATCAATATAGATCTTCAAAAAGCATTTGGGCAAACCTACCCCAATAACTTGCAAATGCATTGATTCGTGACTCAGAGTTTATTTTAGGATCAATTTCGAATTTGAGTCAATTAGTCCAAAAAGCTCTACATAAGTTTCTGAGGATATAATTTCAACTTTAAACTTATTTCGCATTTCAACGTTCTTCATCGGGGAATTAGTTTTAGGAACTTTAAAATTTTGATCGATTTAAAAAAAAATTTTATTTTATTTTATTATAGTATAATGTGGAAACTTCACAAATTCTTTGTAAATTTTTAAAATTCTATTGTATAGTTTTCATAAAAATGCGTATAAATTGTATATTTTTCATAAAAATTTTTTTAACACAGAAAGAGGCGTTTACATTTTTGTATTGAAACAAATTTTCATTTATAATTGAATATAATGCATCGAACGTGGAAAATTGTTTTTATACACACTTTTTTAGACAATACGCAACACATATGTCGGCATCTGGATCACTTATTACGATTAGTGAGGAATATCGTTAAAACATATCGCGTCCTGCAGAAAAAGTTTTAACACTTGAAGCTGCGTACGATTCATGAATGTCAACGAACTAATGTTGAACCTACAGGTTTTAATCCTGGGATTGCTGTTTTAATGCTGGGATCGTGATCACTACAAAAACTGGACGGCGCGTGTACATTGTTGTTTACGTACGTGAAGCACGTCCCATCACGGAATGCATATTTATCTGCATTTATCTGATCGTTGCATCCGCATTCGACTGGCAAATGAGGCATAATACGCACACGTAAATCGCAATATACGGTCAGTAACGGCGTAACCGAAGAGAATCGGAAAAAATTGAATGATTCGACAATCAAATAGTTCGTGGATTTTTTTCATTAAAAACTGTTTCTATATTTATTTAAGCTATAAATTTATTAATAATTATACTTATATGTATGATCTGTCCAACGACTTTCATTTAATATTTAATCTTTTAATATTTTTTATTGTATTAAAATTAATCTTCTCTTAAAATTTATCTTCTCTCATACGTTTCTTTTCTAAAAATATATTAAAATTTTATTAATCTCTTTCTCTTAAAGAAGGATAGAAATTTATTTAATGTAATTAAAAAAATATACTTTCTGCCAAAAGAAATTTTTAACTTATTTTTAAAGTAAAAATTCAATACAAAAAAATTAATTTTCAGTTATCTTATATTTTGAAAATGAAAGAGAAAGAGATGATGCTAGGAAAAAAACGAATAAATATTAATAATGAAATAAATGGCTTTTTATAGGAGAAAGCGTAAAAAAAATATAAAAATTTTATGTTCCCTGACTAATTACGTAACGCAAAAGTAATAAAAATATGCCATCGTGGAATTGCTTCGATACATTGCATTTATAACATGATATCAGACGCATTTTCACATATCGCAGATTTTTTTTTTATTTCGTTGTAGTTATCTATTTCGAAGTATGGCCAATACTACAGAAACCACAAGTGGCGATAAGAACATCGAAATTCATAATAATCTTATTACAAAATGCTCGATTATATGACTTTCATATCACTATTTAATGATATTGACAAACTGATAAGAGCATGTTTGTAACGTTACATTTGTAAAAATATTTATTTTGTTAAGACAAGACATTTTGATGAGTTATTATATATTTGTAATGTGTATTATACATTAATTAAAATTTTCAATAACGTAAATTAATTTTATCATAATATGACTTTCTTGTTTGTTGATTGAGTGATGTTGTGACTCTTAATTTCGTGAAATAATAATTGGCGTATGATTGCAAATTACGTTTTCTTATATATAGAATATGATATCACAAATGCGATGCTTAGAAGATCTATTAAAGATTTTATTATTAGATTACTGAAATGTAATGAATATTTATTGCAAGTAATTAAGTAATATAATAGTTTAAGTAATATAATACGCAGGGAATCCCACAATTATTTCGCCTTACATTTTGATATGCTAAAACTTTCGTATGCTAAAACTTTCCAGTTAATGTTTTGATGACATTTGTACTTTATATCTGCAATAGTAATAATTACGATTTCTTACATCTCATATAACATAATGTAAGCTTAATTTTTAATTGTGAAATAATTATATACAGAATGTTTCATTGACATACCTTTCATAGATAGGTGGATTATACTAAATAGAGAAGTGCGATTTTTGTAATAATTAGTGAGATATTCATTTATATTATAAACGGATAGCCTATTACATTTGTAAATTACATCTTAAAATATTTCGCCGTGTGACAAACGTGTATAAGGCTAGGCTGTCTTTTCACATGGGCGCATTTACGGATCTTATAAATTAATATCTTAATTATTACGAGAAAATTGAAAAATGGTAGAAAATTTTTATTTTCCATATAATCCATCTATCTGCCTATGAAAGATGTTAGTAACTATGAGATATCCAATATAGGATACATATATAAACGTTAGATTATTAATTATGTTATTTAACCATTTTGCAATAACCCTAAAAAATGCATTTTATAATGAATTAAAAAATTTAAATATTAAAGTATATTTAAGTCTAAAATATCAAAGTTTATCTTTTATATGTTAGCCTAGCTGATTATTAGATTTGTCGTACGAAGAATTTACTTTGATTCAATCGTACATCTTCAATGATTTTTGTTGAAACAATTGAAAAACTGCGCAAAATGTGTGATAACTAAAGCTCTTAATCGAAGAAGAGTATAACATTTTCCGATCTGAATATTTTTCAATTAAAATTCATGCCTGTGATATTTATTAATCAAATGCGAACGGCACGGTTGATAAAAATACATCCCCGAATAATTAATTATTATTTCAGAAATGAGTATACATGTCACGCGCACATGGCGCACACAGTGTTGTATCCTTCCTTTATTTACAGATCGTCCGCGAATCCGGTGTAACTTCTTACTCAAAGTAAGAGTGAGTAGTGAACTAATATATTAATTGAAGTGTAATTACATTGTGTTGTGCGGTACATGCAGTATACGTCACGCAACATGTTCGTTCTTGTGGGTATCTAATAATGAATATATATTAAACACATAACTTGCTACCAAAGTATAAGTGTTATTTATTTTTATTTTATTAAGTTTTCTTTATTTTTATAATTATAAATATATTTTATAATTATAAAATAACACTTATAATTATATGCACAGTTATTTACTGGCATAATTATTTTAAAAATAGACAATTTTAGAAATTACGTAAATAGTAGATGCTATCGGTGAATCTCTTTTGTTATAAAGAATTTTACAATCATTTAATAAATTAGACGTGAAGGAAATTGAGAGGCCAGTGTCTCATGTCAAATGCGTCAATGTCTTATAAACATGAGACTGACAGTATACAATCAACCAGTTGCAATATACAATTGAAATATAAATATAAAATATAAATATAAATATAAAATCGAATATATAAATTCCCTATTATAAAGCATCTTGATCGTCTCCGTATGATTACTTTTGCATCACTAGATAGATAGACTTTAATGACGATAATGGGTAACAAGTTTCTGATTGACTATAAACGCATACTTACACTTTTACTTACACATCTAAAGTCCCACATGTTTTACACGTTTACACACCTATACTTCTATATCTCCACTTTCC